CCATTGTCTCCCAGCCCTTTAAGAGGTTCTAAATGCTGTGAGGCGGAGGTGGGCAGTCCAACCATGTGATTGGCAGTCAAAGCAGTCACATGATTGGAACGCTAACGATCACAAGTAGGGCTGGGAGTACACAGGGTATTTTGCTCTCAACACAGAAAATATTTACATTGGGATGCATATATGCGGTGTCTCAGCATAAAAGCCCACCCTTAGAGAGGCCGCATATATGCAGAAACAGGATAAAGTGGAAATAAGACTAAAACCTGCCTACTCCTCCTACCTATCCTGGAAATAAAAAATCTATGTATTTACCTTTGTTTAATCTGCTCAGGTGCGATCACATGATCAGCCAACATGTGTCAGTGAACAGCTGCTGCAGGGGGGAGGAGGGGGTGGTAACAATGCAGAAGCAAAGGGAGCCTATGGGTGACATCATGGCTCCAGGAATTTATAGCCGTTGTCAAAAGCTCCCTTACACACGGGAGCCGGAGCTTGTGGATTATGTGACCGGACCAGATAATAAAAAGGAAGTATACAGATCTTTCTTTTATACAGGGTATGCAGGACAGGTAGGAGGAGGGGGAAGGGAGTATTTTAAAAAACAATTATAGTTAGTATATGCTCTCGGTTAATGATTTGCATTGGCTGGAAACATCAGAGATCCAGAAGACTCCAGATTTCTCCATCAAGAGCAATTATCATTATATTTACACGGGCACATAGGGGGCAAAGGAGCATGTTAGTATGAAAAACTATAATAAAAATGAATAGATTTTAAAAAATAAACAATGAATTAAATATAAAAAAAAAAAAAATAACAAACCCCCATCCCCACCACACATACATAGACAGATACCTATGAAAAGACACAGTTGGGACACACAGACATGCTATTATGCAACAGATATCAGGTATCCCCACTAATACCAGAAACATAAGGGTATTCAATTTAGATGCTGAATATTTTTGGTATTTATTAAAGTGATTCTAAAGGCTTATTTTTTATAAGAAAAAATACCAAAAATGTCTATACTTACCTACTGTTTGCAGTGGTTTTTTCACAGAGCAGCCCGAATCCTCATTTTCTCAGGTCCCCCGCTGGCGCTTCTGGCCCCTACCTCCTGTTGGGTGCCTCCCCGACAAGCGACTTGCTATGAGGGTACCCACTGCTCCGTGCGTCCATTCACACACGGAGTTGCAGTACGGCTCCACCTCCTCTCTCTTCTCATTGGCTCACTGACTGTGATTGACAGCAGTGGGAGCCAATGGCTCCTGCTTCTGTCTCAGCCAATGAGAAGAGGGAGTCCCGTGATAGTCGAGACTCCAGTGTGCATCGCTGGATCGAGAGGGGGCTTAGGTGATCATTGGGGGGAGGCGGTGATGCTGCACAGAGAAGGTGATTTACCTTCATGCATAATATGCAAGAAGGTAAAAAAAAACCTTGAGCCTTTACAACCACTTTAATTCAATAGTCTTCTCTTTTACAGTTAATGGTAAGTCTGAGATTATGTGTGTTTTGTGTGCACTACATACAAAGAGCATACAGCATACAAAATTATAACTAAAGAAATATCCTTCTGCGCTTAAAATGGGGCCCTAACCCTAAAAGCTGCTGACACTAACCTTATACCTATTAGGTGAAGTGACTAATTAATACAAAAAGTGTAGCGCTAAATAAATATACAATAAAAAATATTAAATCATAAACAATATAGTGACACACTCAATCCCCTTAAAAACACACAAAAAAGGGGATAACACACAAATTGTGCAACACGTGACTTCCCACTAAGGGAATATAACAAGTGCAAGTGGTAAATAATCCAATAGTGACTCACACAAAAATGCAACAGTGACTCTCACAAAATTAATATAAACCTCAAAAACAGTCCACACACAGTGCATATATATACACTATATATAATCCGATGAAAGTGCTCCAATTCAACTGTCATGCAAGTGACTGTGTATAATCCGAGATCAAACCTCCAGTGACCTGAGTGGCCCCTCACCTCATTATCTCGACCCCACAGGGTCAGCTCGCTCAAAGGATAACACCAATCCTGATAAGGGCAGATTCCTCACAGGTTCCCCTCAAGGAAATGAACGCTCCTCATTCCAAGCCTCCATACAGTGCAGTAACACACTCCCCGGATCATAGATAGACAAAAAAAGCTTCCATAGTGTAATCTGTTGTTATTTAAACATATATAATATAGATTGCCCATTCACATGTAAATCCTTCTTGTGCACAGCCCCGTATCACCTCATGGGTATCCAAAGGTGTTCCATTATGACCCCCACGCCGGAAGTGACATCACCGTGCACCCGGAAATACCTCCTCGCCTACTGACGCGTTGCGTCACATTATCACGTGACTTCCTCAGGGATACCCTGATTAGTCCTAATCTGAATGTGGCCTCAGCCTGCAGCAACTGAGAGCTTGCACAGGTTTGTCTTTTATCTTGGCAGTTAAAAAAGTGAGAATTTGCACAGCAGAGTGATGAAAAGTGACTATTTGCATGTAGGAAGAGGGATATTAACAATTAGCTGTGACATACCCACCAGATGTTTCCTGCAATTAGCTGTGGGTAGGAAGCCCCACTGAAAGCAATGGGAGGCCGATAGCTCCCACAGTTATTTACGGCCAGTCACAGCCAACAGAACTCTCTTTCCTAGATTTGAGTTTAGCAACAAAAAGTTAAAATACTTAAGTGACAGGGCACCCAACCTATTTCCTGCCTTTCCATACGCCAAGATGAAAATGTCAGTCTGCCTCACTACTTACAGTTGGGGGTCATTCCCCACCACCCTAAGTTTAAAGGTCCTATGTTATAATATTCAACTTTTTTTTCTCTATGTTTAAGATACTTCTTTCGGTTCAGTTGTTGCTGCTTTTTAGCAATAACTGTTGTTCTATATATCTTGGGGCACCTACTTGAGTTACTGCCCTGCCATACTACAGTTCCCTATTATAAGACTGAACCCTCATTGGGGCCAACATGCTGCAAAGCAAACACTCAGAGAAAAAGCTTTCAGAATGAAGTGTTAAAGTGGTTCTAAAGTCTAGGTTTTTTTTTTTAACCATAATGCATTTCCTGTAAGGTAAAAAAACACCCATTATGATTTTCTCCCCAATCTCTACAATCTCTAAATGCTTACCTGAGTCCGCTATTGATCCATCACTGTGCCCAGATGTAGCTCTTCTTTCTTCTCTTCCTGTTGTCACAGGCTAAACTGAAAGCAGTGGGAGAGCCATTGGCTGCTGCTGTTGTGAGTCAAATTCTGTAAGGAGGAAACAGGGGGCGTGGTCAAGCCATACTGTTTGTGTCTATGGACGCACACAGCCCAGCTCAGGAGTGCGCCCACCCACATGGGTGCCCCCAAAGCACACAGCTTGCTATGGGGCCACTCGTAAAAAGGAGGGAAGAGTGCTGGTAGGGGACTGCCAAAGAAGAGGTAAAGGACTGGCTCTGCGCAATATTGTTGCACAGAGCTGGAAAGTATAACCTCTTTTTTATTTTAATGAAAAAAATTGCTTTTAAAACCACTTTAAAGTGTCAGTTCAGCCATAAGTGGCATTTCAGGTATAGGTTGAATCTAGTGCACAAATTCACTTGCTGACATCTCTTGGTGATTCTAGCAGTGAGATTTCCCCATCATACTTACTGATTCTGTTCCTGTTTATGTTCTACTTTTAGAAGTTTCCACCAATTGCAGGGTCTTCCTATTTATCTTTAAACTGTTGAACTTGTCACACCAGTTACTGAGAGACACAATGCTTAATGTGAATTTAGCCACATTAGTGCACGTAGAGCAAGAGTCAACTACTGTCAGTGATACATTTTTTTATTTGGACAGTTAACTGGTCAGAACAAACTCTCAGAGATAATGTAATGTGGTTCCAGCATGTGTATATCCCATTATGGCTACCTTTGCTTAAAGGGAGTGGTTGGGGGGGGGGGATTTAAAAATGCAGCTCAACTATCTTTTATTACTGCACCAACTTCAAGTGTAAATTAGGCCTTAGTGCAAATAAAAAAGTATTATGGACAGTACTCATCTGTAGAAGACACCTTCGCTAATGATATAATTCTCCAACACCTACCAAACACTAAGACCTTGTTTACATCTGAGCGATTTGAAATCATTTTCCAAATGACGTTCAATTGTGGAAAAATGCATGATGCACTTTTGGGTGCCAAAAATTAATGGTACCCCAAATGTGGTGCAATTTTACTGCAACTGTTGCGTGACAATAATGTCAAAATTCCCATCGCACACTTTCCTGGATAAGGCTTAGGAGTAATGGGTGCTGAAGCAACAGCCAGTTGGAACCGGGGACATTGCAGATCAAATGCACATATTCCCCATCACACCACAAATCAGCATATAACGTCCAAAATCATAATTGAGGAATGATTTCATCACAGAGGACAAAGTTTCAAAGCTACGCAGTACCCAGGGGTGGACTGACCATTTGGAAACTCGGACATTGCCCGAGGGCCCGGGGTCAGTAGGGGGCCCCATGAGATGCCCCTGGTACCTTTTTCATAGGCTTTTTTGAGTTTGGGCAAGGACACAGGGGCCCCATGATCCCCTATTGCCCGGGGGCCCCATGAGTTGTCAGTCCACCCCTGGGCCAGTACCCATTTGTCAGGTATGCCATGGTGTGCTGGCAAATATGTGCCTTTGTTGCACAAAAACACCTCAAAATGCCTGGCTCAGTGCCAAAATTTGGTACTTGAGCTTCTTGGGTTGGCAAACATGCATAGGGAAGTCTATTCAAGTGAATCGGCTGCACTATGCGCAACACATGCAGACGTGTGTGTAAATCACACAAGAAAAAATTGTGTGTGGGAACATAGATTCCCACTATGTGAAATGCAAACAGGGCTGAGGTGCAAACTTGTTTGTGTCTACTTGTACTTATGTAAAAACCTGCGTAAGTTGATGGTACATAAATGTGGATATTAACTAATATATCCTTTTTTTCTCAGTCTTAGATTTCACAGATCCCTTCAGCACAGAAGTGAAGCCAAGAATCCTACTAATGGGATTACGGAGAAGTGGCAAATCTTCAATCCAAAAAGTGGTTTTTCATAAAATGTCTCCTAATGAGACTCTTTTTTTAGAGAGTACAAACAAGATCTGCAGGGAGGACGTCTCAAATAGTTCATTTGTGAATTTCCAGATATGGGACTTCCCAGGGCAAATTGATTTCTTCGATCCCACATTTGACTATGAAATGATATTTAGAGGAACCGGAGCACTAATATTTGTCATTGATTCACAGGTAAAGTTTTGACCTTCAGATGCTATTAACTGTGGAGTATCACTGTTTTTCTGTTCAATACATTTTTACAGATTTTGTTTAAATTTTCAAAAGAAAAGTATGTTGAACAATGATAACGAGAGAAATAAGAGAGATCAAAATGCTCACAATTGTTACGTAGAAAAGAGGCATAATAATAAAGCATTGCACCACCAGAGCACAAGTGGACCAAAACTGTCAGGTGAACACAACATGGCAGAATTAAAACTGTAGTAGGAGGTGTGCCCCATGTTCTAGGAGTGGAGAGGAGGAATATAATATATAACTAAACATAGGAGGAAAAGGAAAGAAAAGAAAAAAAAATACAACTCAAGTAACACCAACTGACCAAGAGCAGGACCCCCTCTCCCCCAAGAAAGACCCAAGAAGGGGAAAGAAAAAGGGAAAGAAAGGGGACAGAGAGATTAAACGAGGAGGAGAAGATAAAGAAATTTCTCAATACCCCCCACACCTGCTACTTCCAACTTTTATAGGTGTAATGACTGACATCCAGGGCTGCTGTTAGAAATCATGGGATCCCTACAACCTAGCTGACAGGAACAGTGAACCAGGCCTAACAGGTGGTTCCAACCACATGAACATGCCACTCATTCATGCAATCAGTATACCTGTGAGAATGAACCCTTATGTTTTTTTATATATATTTTACAATTGTATTATTTTTTTATTCTTTACATTTTTTTAACAGGACTGTGGGGGTTGGTGAGATATTAGAGGTCCAAACAGACACCCAACATCTCACTTTTGAGGCAGAGAAAGAGATTGAGGACACGGATTCCCCAATCCTTTCTTTGTAGCGCTAGCTGCAGAGTGAATGAACAGGAAGTGCTCTATACAGAGGCTCCCCTGTTCAATCATAAACTGCAGCATTGTAAACACAGGGTGGGCCAGAGCGGGGTTAGTTCAAGTAATTGTGTCCACTCCTGCTGCCCTGGGCCCCCCCTGTTGAACTTATGCAGTCTGGGACCCATACAGGATTGCCGCCATTCTGGCACACATCAGCTTTACGGGAATGTAATCTGAGCTGGTCCTGTGCAGCTCAGTGTACATTCCAAAGAAAATTGTAAATAGGCAGGTAGGTTTCTTTTATTTTAATTACACGCAAAGTCTCTTCTGCAATAAAGAGCCTGTCTGCTCACATTTTTTAAAAGCAGGACTTTGGTTCTGCTTTAACTTTTAGTAAACTTGTACAATGCTTAACCAGTCCTCAGTGCAGCCTGCTATTTTAAATAACTAATAATACTTAATACCTATTCAAGGGATATTTACTGTGCAGCCTTGCCCAGTGCCACATGACCTTTTTAGTGAAAACATCCCCACCTCTTCTCAGAGTACATGAATGCTGCAGCAAATCTGTATAAGAAAAGGTATACAGTGGGGTTGATTTACTAAAGGCAATTAGACTGTGCACTTTGCAAAGTGCAATTGTACTAGTAGTAAGTGAGTAAGTGAGGTAAAGCTTCCCTTTGCCAAGAATACCCAATCACATACAAGGAAAATTTAAAAAAAAACAGCATTTTTGCTTGCACATGATTGGATGATGGAAGCCAGGAGAGCTTCTGCACACTTACTTAGCCCTGGAGCAACTGCACTTGCAGAGTGCAAAGTCCAATTGCCTTTAGTAAATCAACCCCAGTGTGTGGCTGACCTCCATGGAATGGAAAAGTTGGAAAACCTTTGCCAATTAGTGATTGTACCTAACTGACTGCAGCTGCTGATCAATGTATTTCGACAGCAGAGAGTCCTGCTGTCAGAATACAATGTCCTGGAGGGGGATCTTTTCTTTTTTTTTTTCATTCAGACTGCTGGCTAAATGGTAAAAAAAAACTGTCTATGGCCAGCTTTATTTATTCATTCCAGGTACTTATTTAGGACAGTCAATTTACACAGCACTTTACATATATTGTACATTCACATCAGTCCCTAACCTTCAATTGAACCCACAGGAAACCCACACAGGCACAGGAAGAAAATGCAAACTGTGTGCAGGTAGTGTCCTGGTTGGGATTCAACCAATTTGAAAATGAGCCTTAGTGTGGATAAACATCTAGACCCCCTCTAATTAACACACTCTTGTGTATATCTTGTTCATTCTTTTCTACCAATGAATAATTTAGGCTGTTTGCTAATTTAAGCTTTGAAGAGATCCTTTTTGTTCAGTTCTATACACAGACACTAGACTGCTAGTAAATGAACAACTTTACTACCAGTTACCATGTAGGCTTTAAACATATGTGGTGCTCAAATTCAAGAGGGGTTAAGAGATTTCCCACTGTTCATAAGTAAATCAATAACATCAAAGTAGTAACATTAACCAGGTACCGATGTACGTATCATTAGGTACACTAGGCCTATGTCTATACGTGAAAGTCTAAGGATCATTTGTATTACTGTGGTTTGTTTGCCAGGGAAAAAAAGTACATGTGGTAGTTTGTCCCATCTTCTTAGGTGCTGTCTAAAGCTAGCTGAGAGGTTTTACCCCCTTCATGACTAGGGCATTCTTTTTCAATTTCAGCAGTGCGCTACTTTAACTTGAAATTGCCCAGCCATGCAACACTGTATGCAAATTAAATGTATATAATTTTTTTACACCAATAGAGCTTTCTTTTGGTGGTATTTGACCATCATTGGGTTTTTTTTTATTTCTTATTATATAAACAAAAAAAGACCGAAATCTCTGAAAAAAAAAATATTTTTTACTTTCTGTTATAAAGCATATCCAATAAAAATAAAAAAAAAATCTAATTTCATACATTTAGGCCAAAATGTATTTTGCTACATGTCTGATTAAAAAAAATAATTCCCAATAAGTGTATATTGATTGGTTTGTGTGAAAGCTATAGCGTCTGCAAACAGTGTGTAGCACCCTCTTAGTGCATCTAGGGGGAGCTAGACCCTAAAGGTTAGTCAGGTGTTGGTTAGCAGCTCAGGTGTGATAGCCAGAGGGTCAAATTGTGGTCAGGGCTGAGAGACTCTGCAGACCGGCCCCTCTAGAATTTCCCCCAGCTCTGAGGCTTTCAGAGGAAGTCCTTGGAGGCAGTGGATGGATCTGAGAAGTAGCTAGCTGCACTCTTGAGGGACCTTAGCCAATCCCTAACAGAAGGCTTGCAAGGGGCTTGGACTCTCTTAAAAGTGTAAGGGCCTGCTCAGTGGCAGGGAGAGGGTGTGTGAGGAGTGTGGAGACTGAGGAGGATGTGAGGCTGAAGGAGGAGGGTTGCAAGGAGGCCTAGTGAGATGGGGCCTGCCTGCAAGCCCGGAGCTGGAGAGGAAGAAATCTTGAGACTCACTGGTCCCCTGAGAGAGGACCACCTGTATGGCAGGGATGGAGCAGCCCAGTTGATAGGACTGGTAGCAGCAGCCAACCCGCAAGTGTTACAGGAGAGGATCTGAGTGAGTACACCTGCACCCCCTGGGCAGATAGGGGAAGGAGCACTCTGGCGGGAAACCAGATTAGCCCCCTACTAGTGACTGTTCACCTTATTTAAGGGAACAGGAGCCAGATCCCCTGCTCAGGAAGAAAGTCTCCAAATTGCGGCGTGAAGAGTAGTTCATCTAAGGTCTGGGGTGATACAACTAGAATCTGCTGGCTAGCACTCCAACAGAGACTGTGTCAGAGCAAAGGAGCTGTGAATAGTTCAGGAAGTTGTCCTCAGATTTTGGTTCCCTTAGGCATCTTATACACCAATTACCCTTTCCAAGTTGTAATTCCCTCAATAAGTACCAAAACCAACGCTCAAGGACTGGTTTCTGTACCTAGATGAAAGATTGTGTGAAAATGCTGAATGACTGGCTGTACAGGACTATAGGGGGACCCAAATTCATCAGCAATCCCTAAGAGGGTAGTGGTAAAAATGGTATATTTACTGGAATATATATTTATACTAGTAATGGCAGTGATCAGCGATATATAGTGGGACTGTGATAGTGTGGCGGGCAATCTGAGACTAACTGGGTTACTAACTGGGAACTGACTAACTGACTCTGTCATCTCTAGTGACACTAATGCAGTGATAATACTATACTCTGTCACTATACTAATGACACTGGCTGGGAAGGGGTTAACATCTAAGGGCAATCAAAGGGTTAACTGTGTGCCTAAGAATGTGTAATGTGTGCTGCTTTCACTAAGAGATGTGGTTGTTTTTGCTCTGTGCTTTGCACAGTACATGGGGCAGTCTACAAGTAGATAAACAGGTCACCCCTCAACCCTCCACAGCCATCTGACAACACAGCTAGCAAATAGATTGTTGCTTTGACAAACAGCACTTTTCTCCATTTCCAAGCTTTTGTCTGCTTGCCTGAAATATTTTGGCTGACAAGCCCTACTCCCCCTCCATTCCTCACGAGATGCTTGTCTAGGGCAAATGCTTAGAGAGGCTACCAAGGCAGCTGTCTCATTGCTAGCTGCACTGTTGGACGGCTGTGGATGGAGGTGAGGTGTCCTGTCCAACCTCACAGTTTACCTTAGACAGCATCTAGAAAGATGGAACAAAGTACTACATCTACTTTGTTCCCTGGAAACAAAACACATTAATAAGAATCGAAGTGAGACTTCTTTATAAAACGTTCCCAGGCATGCTCAGAAAGTATTGAAACCAGAAGCAGCCATGAACATAGCATTTTCAGAAGGACGTCAGCAATGGCAGTTTAGGTATTTCTCAGGATACAGGTTTCCTTTGTTTTGGGAGGACAAGGCTACAGCTGAAGAAATCAGTTTTACATCTTGCCTGCCTATTGTTTCAGTGGATGAAGTGTAAATTGCAACTGCTGCTAGATTCAGGTGTAAATTATTATTAATACAGGTACTTATATAGCGCCATCAATTTATGCAGTGCTTTACATATTATATTGTACATTCACATCAGTCCCTAACCCTCAAGGGGTGTACAATCTAAGGTTCCTAACCTACATTCATACATACACATACTAGGGCCAATTTAGATAGGAGCCAATTAACCTACCAGCATGTCTTTGAAGTGTGGGAGGAAACCCACGCAGGCACAGGGAGAACATGCAAACCCCAGGCAGGTGGTGCTGTGGTTGGGATTCGAACCAGCTACCCTAGTACTGCCAGGTGGAAGTGCTAACCATTTATTAATACTTTAGACAGCTCCCCTTGTTAACAGAGATAAAACAGTATACAATTGTTTTGTCGTTTGCAAATATCTGCCATGTTAACATCTGTAACAATCTCTTTTTTTCTGTTTTATGATGATACCCAGGATGATTATATGGAAGCTCTCGCTAGATTACATCTCACCGTCACTAGTGCTTACAAAGTGAACCCTGATATCAACTTTGAGGTTTTTATTCATAAAGTTGATGGGTTGTCAGATGATCACAAAATAGAGACTCAAAGAGATATCCACCAGAGAGCAAATGATGATCTTACTGATGCTGGGCTGGAGAAAATCCATCTCAGGTAAGGCACTCTTAATGTATGGTACATAATGGCAAAGTACACTTTTATTATACATTCACCAGCCACTTTATTAGGTACACCTTTTCAATTGCTTGGTAACAGAAATTGCTAATCAGCCAATCACAAGGCAGCAATTCAATGCATTTAGGCATCTAGATGTGGTGAAGACAACTTGTTGAAGTTCAAACTGAGCATCAGAATGGGGAAGAAAGTGACTTTAAACGTGGCATGGTTGTTGGTACCAGATGGGCTGGTCTGAGTATTTCAAAAACTGCTGATCTACTGGGATTTTCACACACAACCATCTCTAGGGCTTACAGAGAATGGTCCAAAAAAGAGAAAATCTCCAGTGAGTGGCGGTTGTGTGGATTAAAATGCCTTGTTGATGTCAGAGGTTAGAGGAGAATGGGAAGACTGGTTTGAGATGATAGAGAAAGGCAACAGCAACTCAAATAACCACTTGTTACAACCACTTGATACAAGGTATGCAGAATACCATCTCTGAATGCACAACACATCCAACCTTGAAGCAGATGGACTACAGTAGCAGAAGACCACACTGGGTACCACTCCTGTCAGCTAAGAATAGTAAAATGGAGGCTACAATTCACACAGGCTACAATTCCTGCACTGTGAAGGACTACGTTCTTATATTAACTGCAGATTACACTGAGAGAGTGGGGCTGTAGCTGTGTTATCAATGGAGCTATGCTATCAGTATGACAGATGCTCACTCTGTCTTCAGGGCTGTTGTTACGTCTGGCACCCCAACTTACTTAGACAACGCACCTGTGCTGCAGAACGGAGATGCAAACCCAGCATGAAATCAGATTTTAATGAGTTTACTTTTACTTAAAAAAATATTTTTTCCTATTTAACCTTTTTTTAACTGACTGTTCCATGTAATTAGCACTAATTAAATCTTTCCTCTCTTGCTTTCCTTAGACTTTTTAGTTTGATAATTCTTTTTCAAAATGAAATGAATTGATTTGAATATTTAGAAGTCTTTTTTTTGTTTTTACATTTTTGCAGAGTAATTATGTCATTTTTTTTGCTTTCATCTCCCTCAGTAAATATGCCAACACTTCTTTCTTATATGTATTCACAAAGTGATTTAATAGGCTTATAGCTGGAAACTGGTAGTGGCTCTGGAGCTCAGTTGCTTTATGGGCTCTTTATTTATTTATTACAGGTACTTATATAGCGTCATCAATTTACGCAGCGCTTTACCTATATATTGTACATTCACATCAGTCCCTAACCCTCAAGGGGTGTACAATGTAAAATCCTTAACTTACATTCATACATACACATACTAGGGCTAGGTTAGACAGGATCTAATTAACCTACCAACATGTCTTTGGAGTGTGGGAGGAAACCGGAGTACCCGGAGGAAAGCCACGCAGGCACAGGGAGAACATGCAAACTCCAGGCACGTGGTGCCTTGGTTGGGATTCGAACCAACGACCCTAGTACTGCCAGGCGGAATCTTTATAATGCAGTTGCAGAAGATTTTTTCCTTCCATGTACGTCAAAACCCTTGCACCAGGATGATTCACCTGTAGTAGATTTCTGGTGCATGTTACATTGCTGCTTTTAGATATGCCCCTTTTTAAACCTTCATTCCACTGTACCCACCCCCCCTTTCTTCCATGCATCTGAAGCTGAGATCTTATGATGCTCTGGGGTTAATACCTGTCACAGGTACTCATAAAAAGTGCTGACTTTGCTTGCCCTTACCACCCCGCTGTTCCATTCATAAAAGTTGTACAGCTTCCCATAATGAAAAGCGCTCTATGAATGGACGTGCAAAGGAAAGGTCTGCCTCCTTCATTCATAGAGCACTTTTCATCATGGGAACTGATAGTAAAGATTCTATGAATGGAGCAGGGATGGAAATGGTGAAAATAATTGGCATTTTTGACGAGTGCCTATGTCAGGTCCAGTGGCTTGCACTCACCCCTGCAGCACTGGAAGATTACAATTGTGGGGGTATCTGGGAGGGCAGAGAACAGAAGGTTTCAACAAGCATACCAGTCATCAGCACAAGGGACTATTCTCATATGTAAGTACCATCCCTGGCACTAAGTAAAACAAATAAGTAACTTACACTTTAACTCCTTCAATACTTCTTTAAATCTTTCACATGTTGTGAGAAAGTAGAGTATAGTACCACTCCACAGCAAGCATCCTGTGATGTCATATATTACCATTACAATGCTTGCTCTCATTTCTGTACCTTGCACTGACCTGGCCACTGTATGTGTAGAGGTGCACGCATGTCACAGCTAGGGATGTGTTTTCTATAGACCAGCAGTCTCCAAACTGTGGTCCACAAGCCAAATTCAGCCCACTGACTTTATCCTACCCTTTGTTGTACTTTGATGGGGACTCTGATGTAAGGGAGACTCCGATGTAAAGAGGGTTTCTGATGTTAGGGGCACTCTGATGTAAGGTGCACTTTAATGGCACCCTATTGTGAAGGAAACTCTGATGCCCTCAAGTTTGTTTGGAGTTACTTTTGCTTTCTTTTATTGAATTTTTTTTTTAAGTTGTTCTAAATCATATCAACCTAATTACAAAAAAGTAAAATTGAATTTTGATTCATATCACAAGACAGAGTACAGGCGTTCCATAAAACATGGTATCCTTGATACACTGAAAGACTACCACAGGTTATAAAGCTAATGTGCCAAACGTGCCTTTCCAGAGAATGTATGTGAACTGATGAGTACTTATTGTTACTCTGCTACAGGGTTTTTGTTTGGCGGGACAGAAAAAAAGGTATCCTCCATATGACACCAAAGGACCAAAAATACTCTCTCATGCTTGGTTCACACCTATGCAGGTTGCGTTTGACCCGTTTCTGCATTGCATTTAGCATTTTCAACTGTGTTTTTGCTGCGTTTTTGATGCAGTTTGCGTTTTTTTTCTTGTTGCTAGGCAGATTTAAAGCGCAAAATACAAAACGCATCAAAAAATGTGGGAAAAACGCAGCAAAAATGCACTACATGCTTTTCTGTAGCATTTCCATTGAAGTCCATAGAACCAAAAATGCAACTTTTTGTGTTCAAAAAAGTCCCTGACCCTTTACAAAAACGCACCGGGTGAAAACGTGGAGATGTGAACATGTCCCATAGGAAATCATGTTAAGTGGACTGTACTGCGTTTCTGCAAAACGCTGTGTAAAATACTTAGGTGTGAACCTAGGGTCAGTGTTATGCTCCCCTGATCATTGGCCATGCCAGCTTCTTGAGCAGTGATGATGATAGTCTGCATCCTCCCTCTCCTCTTCACTCCCCCGTTTTTATTTCTTCTCCATGTGTATTTTTTATATATGTTTACTAGAGATGAGCGAATCGAACCTGGCGAAGTGGAATTCGTTTCGAATATTAGGAAAAATTCGATTCGCACCGAATCCGAATATTAGCAAACTTCGGATGCACGAATCGAATTTTCCCCGATCGGCCGATTTTCATCCCTTCTACAGCCGGCAAAAAGTGTCCCTGCAGAGAGCTCCGCTATTTCTGACAGTTCTCTGACAGTTCCTTCACATTTACAGCAGTTGAAACATTGTATCTATTTGTTTCCATTTAGGATACAGATGTTTTTATTCGGAAACAAATAGATAAAATGTTTCAACCGCTGTAAATGTGAAGGAACTGTCAGAGAACTGTCAGAAATAGCGGAGCTCTCTGCAGATACACTTTTTGCTGCACTGGAATTCTTCTTCATCCTAATCCTACTTCTTCTTCTTCTTCTTCTTCTTCTTCTTCTTCATCCTCATCCTACTTCTTCTTCTTCTTCATCCTCATCCTCTTCTTCTTCTTCTTCTTCTTCTTCTTCTTCTTCTTCATCCTCCTTCTTCTTCTTCTTCTTCTTCTTCATCCTCATCCTACTTCTTCTTCTTCATCCTCATCCTACTTCTTCTTCTTCTTTCATCCTTCATCCTCATCCTACTTCTTCTTCTTCTTCTTCATCCTCATCCTACTTCTTCTTCTTCATCCTCATCCTACTTCTTCTTCTTCATCCTCATCCTACTTCTTCTTCTTCTTCTTCTTCTTCATCCTCATCCTACTTCTTCTTCTTCTTCTTCATCCTCATCCTACTTCTTCTTCTTCTTCTTCTTCATCCTCATCCTACTTCTTCTTCTTCATCATCCTCATCCTACTTCTTCTTCTTCTTCTTCTTCTTCATCCTCAGCCTAATTCTTCTTCTTCTTCTTCATCCTCATCCTTACTTCTTCTTCTTCTTCTTTCTTCATCCATCCTCATCCTACTTCTTCTTCTTCTTCTTCTTCCTCATCCTACTTTCTTCTTCTTCTTCTTCATCCTCATCCTACTTCTTCTTCTTCTTCTTCATCCTCATCCTACTTCTTCTTCTTCTTCATCCTCATCCTACTTCTTCTTCTTCTTCTTCTTCATCCTCATCCTACTTCTTCTTCTTCTCTTCATCCTCATCCTACTTCTTCTTCTTCTTCATCATCCTCATCCTACCTCTTCTTCTTCTTCTTCTTCATCCTCATCCTAATTCTTCTTCTTCTTCTTCTTCTTCCTCATCCTACTTCTTCTTCTTCTTCTTCATCATCCTCACCCTACTTCTTCTTCTTCTTCCTCATCCTACTTCTTCTTCTTCTTCTTCTTCATCCTCATCCTACTTCTTCTTCTTCTTCATCCTCATCCTACTTCTTCTTCTTCATCCTCATCCTACTTCTTCTTTCTTCTTCTTCTTCTTCATCCTCATCCTACTTCTTCTTCTTCTTCTTCATCCTCATCCTACTTCTTCTTCTTCTTCTTCATCCTCATCCTACCTCTTCTTCTTCTTCTTCTTCTTCTTCATCCTCATCCTACTTCTTCTTCTTCATCCTCATCCTACTCCTTCTTCTTCTTCTTCTTCTTCTTCTTCATCATCCTCATCCTACTTCTTCTTCTTCTTCTTCATCATCCTCATCCTACTTCTTCTTCTTCTTCTTCTTCTTCTTCATCCTCATCCTACTTCTTCTTCTTCTTCTTCTACTTCTTCTTCTTCTTCATCCTCATCCTACTTCTTCTTCTTCTTCTTCTTCATCCTCATCCTACTTCTTCTTCTTCTTCATCCTCATCCTACTTCTTCTTCTTCTTCTTCATCCTCATCCTACTTCTTCTTCTTCTTCTTCATCCTCATCCTACTTCTTCTTCTTCTTCATCCTCATCCTACTTCTTCTTCTTCATCCTCATCCTACTTCTTCTTCTTCTTCTTCATCCTCATCCTCTTCTTCTTCTTCTTCTTCTTGCCATGGGCCCCTGTACCGCCTCCTCATGCTGCTGCCAGGTCCTGAGTGTGTCATGGGTCCCTGTGCGGCCTCCCATTGCTGCTGTCTCCATCGCCACACTCTGCCATGTGCCACTTTCAGGTCTCCTCACACTGCTGGTGGGTTCCATTTTGTCATAGGGTGCTGTATGGCCTCCCATTGCTGCTGCCTCCACCGCCACACTGTGGCTCCACACTCTGGTTTTGGCCCCGTGACTGCCCAAATGAGTGAAGTGTGCGGTGATTCTAAGATCGACGGCACTCATCTGCATGTCATACTGACTGACAGTATTATTTCTCTTCCCCAGCAGACTCCAAGGGCATTTAAATTAAAGGTACAGTGTTCTGCACTAATATAAAGGCTCTCTGAAGCCTAGAAACCCTTTTTATAAGTTAAATTCGCAGCGAATAAATTCGCATCGAATCGAATTTATTCCACAAATTCGGCGAATCAGCCGAATCGAATTTTTGAATAATTCGCTCATCTCTAATGTTCACTCTAGCTACATACTTTTTCCTGTCCTACCAGAATGTAATGTTGCCACAGTTTTCCCTCTGGTGGTTCTTTTGTTTAATAATGGTTGGCGGTTGTGATAACTATCAGGGCAATCACAGACTTTCTAAAGTTGTAGACTTAAGTGCTGATTCACACATGTGTGGTGCGGATTGAAGCTCAGGTTTGACAGCTAATTGACACAGTAGTTGTTCAGCGGTTCAGGTCAGGTAGACTTCAGGTCAGGTTCCCATAGAAGTCAATGGCCTGTCATTTGCACCTGAACCAGACCGCACTGCTCTGAAATCGGACATGACTCTTTTTCAATACGTACTGAATCTGCACTGCCAGTGAACCAGACATACAGTATGTGAACAGGCACCGTAGGAAACAATGTTATTTCACATGTCATGCGGATTGTATGAGGTTCAAACCGCATCCAATCCGCATATATGTGAACCGGCACTAATAACTCTGTTAGTGGTTTTACCCTGTCCAGTGGTTTCTTTATCCAACCAATGATGTTTTGTTTGTTTTCCATGATTACATGCCCTTGACTGAATGTACTCCTGGATCCTGAATACAGTGTGCTGGATTATTGAATGTAAAACACCAAATAAAATATGAAACTAAATTTGATTGATTCAATTATAAAACTAATATTTTTCAGCCTGCGTAAATTTGTAAAATACGATGTGGTCCTTGTTCTGAAAAGTTTGGAGAACTGGCGGACAGTGGATGTCCTTTCACCTTCTGCTTTAGCTTGGGAGTGGGGGATGTACTTTGACATTGTTGCTTTGTGTCCCAGCTCTGAAAGTATTGTTTTATTTCTTACAGTGAAAAAAAAAAATCACACATTTTACATTACCGTACTTCATTTTTTATATTAATACTGTTGTTTTTTTTTTGCAGCTTTTATCTTACTAGTATTTATGACCATTCGATCTTTGAAGCTTTCAGCAAAGTTGTTCAAAAACTGATCCCACAGCTTCCAACTTTAGAGAACCTGTTGAACATTTTTATATCTGTAAGTCAATTTTCATATACTAAAAGTAGAAAATAGTTTTTATGTTATTAAAGTTAGTGTTTAAATATTCTGTTTTTGCTAAATTTTCATGCATTTTAAAAGATCAGCAGGCTACATGCTGTAAGGCAAACTTTCATGTCACTTACCATTGTATTTCAGTAAGTACACATTTTGCATTATTACTATTGCTATTATTACTACTATTGTTGTTATTATTATTATTATTATATATTTTGTTTACCAGAAAGTAATTTTTGGTGAGGTTTTAGTTACCTTTGATATTTTGATTATTGTCATGTTCATAACATCAGTGCTGCTGTATTAAGAGCTGTGTTATTAGCTCTTATGACAGAAGCACTGAAAAAGTTATCTTGGTAAGCAATAGGGTGCAGTGCGTACCCGAGAAAGTAGAAAAATCATGGACAATTATAAAACTGCTGTGATTGTTCTTGGCAGAGGTGAAAGCTTTCCTCACAGGAGTACTTTTGCAAACCTAGAAGCAGCCAGAGCACGTTGCTCTGCAGAGAGAAGCTATGTGGCAGCAGCCTTGACAAATAAGAACTACTGGGGGTTTTTTTTCTGATGAACCAGCTGAAATTCCCACTGTGGTTGGCCCTGTTGGCACCCACAATTAGAATACAGAAGCCAGCACTGAAGATTAATCCATCTGTGCTGTATGACTGTGCTGTCAGAAAAAAAAAATCCAGCAATGTATGGCCAGTTTTAGTGAAAACTGGAGGCACTGGGATTTAGGGCCAGTAGACCAGTACTGACTTGTCAGCAATATTAGGTCTCAGGACAGATATTTTTTTTACCTGTATATTGCTTATTTCCATTGACATTGGCCATTAGGAGCTTCCCATAGATAATTGTCACCTAGTCTGACCAAAATGAGTCAGAATGTGGAATTGTCAACTTTCATGTCTACCTTTACCTACATGGGTGGTTTTATCTGAAAGCACTAAACAATTTTAACTATTTGTTGACCTCACTATCTCAACAATATTGATTTTAGCCTACTGCAAATGTGATAAGAGCCCAAAAGTTGGCAAATCACTCAGAAGCCAAATAGTAATAGACTTGAGAAGCACAGTCATTGGGAAGTAGTACTATGCTGCTACTATAGCCTGTATGCCATGTGCAAACAGGGTAATATTGCTGCTCTCTATAGCAGGCACCCTTTGGAGCCATATTTTATCAGTACCAGCCTTCCCAATGTACCAATAGTGGCTCCTGAAGCTGTTGTAATAGTACTGACTTTCTGAAAGTGAGGATTTGCACAGGGCTGAGAAAGGCCTCCGTCTTCTGAGGAACGATGCTTTGGTTTGGATATACAGAAAGAAAGTGCATGTTTGCCCTATAATTAGATGTTTGAGTTGAGTTGGAGATGTGCAAGTACTGTAAAGGTAACATATGGCTCTATAGCAGTGGTTCTCAACCTTCCTAATGCCGTGACCCTTTAATACAGTTCCTCATGTTGTGGTGACCCAAAACCATAAAATTATTTACCCAGTAATTATAATTCATGAGTGTCGTTTTACCTCCAATACTGCTGCTTTCAACACAGTAGCTGCTTTTAACAGAGTAGCTGCTTTCAACACAGCAGCTGTTTTCTACACAGTAGCTGCTCTTTACACATCAGAAATATGTGTTTTTCTGATGGTCTTAGGGGACCCCTGTGAAAGGGTCGTTCGACCCCCAAAGGGGTCCTGACCCACAGGTTGAGAACCACTGCTCTATAGGATGAATGTTCTAGAGCTGCAACCTCACCTTCTTTCAACAAGTTCCAGGTTAATCAAGCTGTAGAATTGCTGCAAGGTGATGGGCTTTTACTTTTCCTCTTTGTTATTACATCAGTGGATGGCCAGAGGGTTAGCTAAGGCCTTCAGTTGCTTATTGTTATCCACTTGATCTCCGGATGATTTACCCCCCTTTCATGACCAAGCCATGTTTTGCTATATGGAACTGTGTTATTTTAACTGACAATTGCGCGGTCATACAATATTGTACATAAATGAAATGTATGTAATTTCCCCCAAAAAAATAGAGCTTTCTTTTGCTGGTATTTGATCACCACTGGGTTTTTCATTTTCCGTGCTATAAACAAAAAAAGACTGCCAATTTTGAAAAAACAAAAACTAACTTTTTTTTACTTTCTGCTATAAAACATATCCAATAAAAACATCCCAATGACACTAATACAGTGATCAGTGCTAATGAAAAGCACTGACACTGTACTAATGACACTGAGCAGGTAGGGGTTAAGATCTGGGGAGTTGAAAGGGTTAGCTGTGTGCTGTGCTATGTTTTACTGTATGTGCTGTGTGTTTTACTATTATTTATTTATTATTTATTTCAGGTACTTATATAGCGCCTTCAATTTACGCAGCGCTTTACATAGATATTGTACATTCGCATCACTATGTAGACATGCTACTGTGTATTTCTCTGCTGTGCAGAGAAGTACACAGCAGCATATTACTGCTGGCAGAAGAGAGACCTGTGTTGTTTACGCACAGGTCTCTTCCTTGTTACTGTTACTCAGCGATCGCCGGGTGCCAGTGGGGAATCTCCGGCCGGGACCCAGTGATCGACATCTGTAGCCGCCAATGGTGGAACCAGGTAGAGCGGCGCGTGCACCCCCAACCTGGAAATGCAAAATCATGTATATATAAGTGATTTTGCGCAGCCCTGCCACACTGTAGCAGTAGTTCTGCTATAGGGCAGAAGGGAAGCGTTTACATATGAAACAGGAAGCTTGAAATTTGTAAAAGTCTTATCAAGGTTGTTTTTGGGTAAACATTACAACTAAATGATAACTCACTGGAAATATGCTATAGCTTCAGTATAAATATTACCACTGTTTTTTTGACTATGATCTTCTGGTTTAAAAAACCCTACCCATGAACTTTGGCCTCCAGCTTTCACATTTACAGGTTTTTAACATTAAATGTTGAGGCAGAAAAGGCCTTTTTTTTTTTTTGTAGAACTGGAATAGGGATTTAGGTGAACCTTGGAATACCCTGAACTAAGACAAATTTGGTTTTGGACACTATCTTGCAGTTAACCTCTGCAGAAAAGACATTCAGGCTCCATGCACCTTTTTAGTAGCATTTTTTTTTAGTGTTCAGAAGTGTCTAGGAGTGTTAGCGTTTTATTAGCATTTTTACAGGACATGTAGAGGGAAAAAAGCTTGAAAAAAGCTGTTAGGAGCGTTTTAGTAGTGTTTAGCATTTTTTCTGCTGGAAAAACGCTCCAAAAACAATTTTTTTTTTCTGCTCTAGGCGCTGAAACTCAAAAAAATGCTAATAGCCTAAATTAGTGTGCATGGACACATAGGATGACACTATTTAGCTTCTAGGAGCAGAAAAAAATGCTCGTGTGCATAGAGCCTCAAGGTAGAAAATGTGAACAATTCAACACAGGGGGATCACGCAGTGGAAACTACCCTAGCCAGCAGATTTGGGAACATTTACTCCAGCAAAAGAGCACAATAGCAGCAGTCGCCCCCCAGGATTTCTCTCAGACCTCTACTCACTGTGCCACTGCATATATGGACGTTCCAGTATCAGCTAACACTGTACCATAAGCTTCCCAGCCCAATCCTTTTTAGGCTTTGCTCCAACTGTTCCTGCAGCTTGTACTTTTTTTTACTAGTTTTTCCAGCTCTTCTCTGAGCCAAAACTGCTGAAAATTTTACTGTGGTTTCTCAAAGGCCTTGGAAGGTTTAAAGGAGAAGTTCACCTTTAATAACACGTTACATGTTACAGCCATATTCAGGATGTAACATGTTACGAATAAACCGCCCCCCGATCCTCCACTTTGACAACCAGAGGGGGATCTTCTCCTCCTGTGCGTGACTGCGCCCACCTGGCCATGACACTCATTCACAGTCATCTGTAAATAAGAAACTATATGTCCCGACAGCCTTAGAAGCTGTCAACTTGTAGTCCTCAATGAACTACCATGGTGCTGTGGTAGTTCATTCATTCTTCTTGTCAGTATCCCGTACTGGCAAGCAGATATACTGACATGTCTGCAGGAGACCTGCATGGCACCAGCGATCTGCTGATCACTGATGCAATGGTTTACAGGCTCCCAAAACAAAATAAAATAAATGCACATTTTTTTACCCACAAAACAAAAATGTGCATTTATTATTTTTTTTTAGCAAAAGGTGAACTTCTCCTTTATCAGGCTGGGTCAATTTCTAGCCAACAAAGGACCTTGCTATTCCATGCTACAGACCTTACTGTATATACACCTCTCAGCTCCCTACTGGTCACTCTCCCAATCAGGGATTGGCTGGTGCTGTATACATGATCAACTCAGGCTCTACCTCCCTCACCCACTATGTTCCAGCACTTTCTGGAAAGACAGAGGGAGACAGGCAAGCCTGCAGCTTTAGAGCCTAGAACTAAGTAAATCAATCAACCCAGCTTCACTGACTATAACATAGCCCAACATAACTAAATTTACCTAGATTATATCTAAATATTAGTACCTAGTTAGAAGGGTGCTACATAAAATTGAATAAATAGTATTTAGTAGTGGGTCACACTCAAATGGAACTATCGTTGTGTATCCCAAAGAGTTATTAGCAGTTGTATATAATCTTAATATGGAGACGGGGACTTTTAAAGTGTATCCAAACCCGTAACCATAAAAAATTGCAGATTACTGGTCCTTGGATGGGGGATGCATTTGTTTTCTTTTTTGGGCTTCATTCAGACAGGCATTGACACCCATTCTGTGTGCAGGTCATGTTTGTTACTGCACCTGCATCCACCCCAAGCTGCATGCAGGCAGCCTTTAGATGCGCATGCAAACACAGTGGCTACAGAAACACAACCACATATTAAAATTTAACATACCTGCAGAATTTGGTGCAGGGATCCAAATGTACACTGCCTGCATTCAGATCCGTACACCTACTCAAGCTTCTTTTACTTTTTTTCAACTGGTAATCTTGTGAAAAACACATTTCCTGTCCCTGAGTG